TCTCTAATTTCTTTTGTTTAAAGTGCTCAGTTTGGAAAAAAGCAGTCCAACCAATTTTAACACTCAAATCATTACAAGGCTTGTTTTCATTCTTGCAGTGTATATATTTGGTTATATGTCCAAACATGAATATGTTGTTGAATTCTTTTTAATTAAATCTTTCTACTGGATAATTTGTTAACTTGTTAATCTGATTCGAATTTTGTCAAATTACATTTCCAGGTTCCGGGTCCTGCACAAGTTCTTGATTATTACTGGATTCATCATATTGCTTTTCTTTTTGCCTCTTTAGATTTTCATTGAAATGTTTGATTATATGACCAAAAAAACTGCAGTTATTCTATAAATAAGAAGTCCATTCACTTGTACAGTTTTTGATGAGAGATCTGATATTGTTATGATGCAGTTAACGTAACAATGGAAATATGGGCCTTTAAGAAAGCAGAATCTGCTGTAACTTTGTAACTGTTGGTGGTGTTAGCTAGGAAGTACACGGGGCTGGAAGGTCACAGTGCAGCAGACAAAAACAGAGGTAGCAAGAAGGCCAGGCCAGCGGTAATGACATTCAAAGGTTCAAAATGGGAGAGAAACACCATGAAAATCCAAAGGTGAACATACCTTGGTTGCAGATGCACTCATACTTCCCCCAGAGATCCACACAGGTACTGGCAGCTGGGCAACTGACTGACTCAAAGGAACAGGAGTCTACTTGAACACAGCCCAGCTGGATGTTCTGCTGCTGGGCTGCGGCCAGTGCTAGGATATTATCCCCAACCTTCAGGCCTTGCATACAGCCTGTGAAGCCACGCCTCACTGTGCCCTCTGCATTGACCAAGCCACCAACGTAGACAGTACTGACACTCTGACCATCAATGGTGTCCCGGGCAGCCACAGATTTCTGGCAGGAATGAATAAAACATGTCCAAAGAGAATACATGAAACTGGCCAAAACCTAACAAAGTGAATTCACTTCCTTCAGGAAAGCATAAGAACTTTTGAGATACCGCAATTTCAATTTACCACAATGTGGTAGTTGAATCCACCACAAGTCCAGTCACACGTACAAAGACGACCAATCACAAGAGGCATAGTGAAGAGAGGCAAAGGAACATCTTTACCAGACTTGATTTCAATAACTCTTGACTTAACTAATGACCAGATGGCTTGTGATGGACTTGTAACAGATGCAGATATACAAGTGAGAGTTGAAGCATAAGTTTACTCAAGTAAAACGTGGAAAGGACCGGGACAGTCGCAAGGTAGTGGGTACTTGATAAAGGACGCAGGGAAGGGCATGGAATCAACAATGCTAGACTGAAGGACATTCACATGGCAAGAAAATGGTGTGATCATTTAACTATTGCCCAAGAGGTAACAACAAGATCCTGCTATTTTGTCCTCCAATGCTGCATCTTATTGGCCCCTCTGCAGGAAATTCATGCATTTGGCTCGCTGGAATGATCACAGCAGTCGCAGCAGATGCCACATAAATTACCAGTGGTATGGAGAACTC